CAAAAGCCGCTCGGGAAATGGCATTTCTCCCCCGCGGCCAGAGTCAAAAGCAAGCCTCCTTCTGTATATTTTTATTTTTTTATTCTGGTTTTTACGCTCTTCCCCACGAAAAAGAATTAATTGCCTAAATACATATATATTTTTTATTTTTTAATATTTTTCCTTTTTTTAAATTTTTTTTTTTTATTATTATTATTTTTGGTGTGTGCGTGCGTGTGTGTGGAAGCACCGGGCTCCTGCGATCGGTGTCTGAATGAAACTACGTAAATGCATATGGTCTGTACGTTGCACTGGAGGGAAAAACGGAGCACTTCTGCGAGAGCTTGGATTCAAATGTGGTTCATCTGGTCTCCAGGATTTTCCGTCTCTTTGGGGTTGTTCGCCTTCCCGGGCTGCGAGGCGGGATTTTCTGAGCTTTGACACATCTTTGGAGATGCCTGTTAAACAGGAGTCTGGGAAAAAACATTCGAAGTCGTAGAGATACATATATATTTTTTTTTGTCCCTTTCCCATCCCCTTGGTGACTTGAAGCATCAAAGCAGCCAGAACTTAACGTTTCTGAAGACTTGTGATGTTTGGGTTTTGTTGTTGCTATATTTTTTTTTAGAGGAAACTTGACGGAGGAACATATTTATAGTCCAAGTAAGTACTTTACAGAGGAAATTTAGTTTGTGTAACTTAACAAAAAAAAAAAAAAAAGTGTTGAGGTTTCTAGCTTAAAGTGCGTTGGATTAACGTTCATCCAAGGCTGTTTAGCAAATCGTATTGAATTGCAGTTTTTACGGTGTGTGTTCGTCCGCTCCTTCGTGTCCGTGGTAGTGCAGCACCTAGGGGAAAATGCACCTGATTTTGAATCGGTATAATATTTTTTAAGATGTGTTTCATCACCGAGGAGGAAATGGTCCTAAAGTAAATTTATAATAAGTAATAAATGTGCTCCTGGAAGTAAAGTATATACAGCATTTTAATCCCTATTTATACCGTGCATCTCAAACCGAGGAGGAAACACTGAGAAGACAAAAGTACCTCCGAGACCCTGAGAACTCCCCCAACACCACCATGAATGAAACCGTGCCCGATACAGTAACTGGATTATAATTTTTTGGTGTTATTAATTTTATTATTATTGGCTGCTTTACTTTTTTGGGTTCATCCTGCTCCTCTTCTTCCTCTCTCCCTTCCTCTTGCTGCTTCCTCTTGGGAATTATGGCTCATCCGGGGAGAAGAGGCTACGATAACCGGGAGATAGTGCTGAAGTACATCCACTATAAACTCTCGCAGAGAGGATACGACTGGGCTGCCGGTGAGGACACGGCACCTCTGCCACCGGGTCTCTCTCCTCCTGCTGCTGCTGCTGCTGCTGCTGCTGCTGGGACTTCCTCTGATCACACTGGGCTGGTGTCTCCGCACCCCGAGCCCCCCGGCTCGGCTGCTGCTAGCCACGTGCCCCCGGCCGAGGGGCTGCTCCCCGCGCCCCAGGTGGTCCACCTCACCTTGCGCCAGGCCGGGGACGAGTTCTCCCGCCGCTACCAGAGGGACTTTGCCCAAATGTCCGGCCAGCTGCACCTGACCCCCTTCACGGCCAGGGGCCGCTTCGTGGCGGTGGTGGAGGAGCTCTTCCGAGACGGGGTTAACTGGGGCAGGATCGTGGCCTTCTTCGAGTTCGGCGGTGTGATGTGCGTGGAGAGCGTCAACCGGGAGATGTCTCCCCTCGTGGACAGCATCGCCGCCTGGATGACCGAGTACCTGAACCGGCACCTGCACAACTGGATCCAGGACAACGGAGGCTGGGTACGTCCCTCGATTGCTCGTTCCTTCTCCTGGCTCTGGGCCCGTGGCCGGTGGGGCTACGAGGTGGGCCAGCGCCCGGGGGAGTTGCACTTGCATTGGGGGGAGCAAAAGGTTTGCTTGGGGAGATGTCTGCTGAAACGCTGTGGGCCTTTTGCCAGCTGTCAGGTTGCACCTCATTGTGGGGTTACAGTGGAGTGGTTTGGGATGGGGGGAGCAGCTAGAACTAGGGAGTGAAGAAGATGAGCGAGGCACTTCCTTCATCGGGGGTCTTTGCTCTCCCACCCCCATCCACCCACCATCGCCTGCTGGTCCACCAGCAATGGCCAAGGCTGGGACCTGCAGCAGGGCGGGAAGGGGGAGCAGAGGCTTCTGTCCAGCCTTCCAACGTCTTCTCCCAGGCAGGGGAAGGAGGGGGACAGTGGGGACCACATGTATCTCTCCGTGTGTGCATGCAGGCGTCCCTGCCCGTTGGGGGTGACGCGGCGGGCAGGCGCATGACGAACACGGGATCCTGGTGCTAGGGGCAGGCAGGTGGCTGTCGGTGCCGGTGTCGACAGCTGCGGTGGCAACGGGGTTTTTATGGTAAAGGATATGCCTAGTGTGAAAGATCTGTCTTTGTCTCGAGCTGAAACAAAGGTGCCGGGAGCCGTGTCGGTGGGATTGTTCTGGAAAATGAGCATTTGTTATGATCCGATGGGTGACTCTGTGTCTGGGGTAAGGGATCACCTCTGGCTGGGGCTGGCTACAGCATCACCCAGAAAGGGACCATTTCCACGTGTGGAAAATGGACAGCTTCTACACGCGTAGTCAGTCAAAAGCCTTTCCTTTTTCTCTCTCTGTCCAAAATATGTAACTGCATTGAAACTGGAAGGGTATTTCTTTCCCCTTTTCCCCTGTATTAACAGATACATTATAAAAACATGTGGTCCCAGCCGCTCTTCCGCAAACCAAACCTGCTGTATGCGAAAAGCTTATGATATTTATGTATTGGAGGAAGAAATGGCAAAAGTTAGACTGAAGAAGAAACTTTCCGTATGGGCTGAGAGCTGGCGTTAAGTCAGCGAGTAATGGAGGTCAGCTGGGCAGGAGACCCGCAATTTTGGGTCTGGTCCCCTGTGAAACGCAGCCAGGGAGCTGGTGCAATTACACAGCACACCTTTTAGAGGCACGTGTAAAGGAATGTAAAATACGGTGTACGTTTCCCCATTAACATGGTTTGCAAAGCCGGTGTTTGTGAAGCCCTACCACGTTAAATACTCAGCTCTGGGTCTCTTGCTAAGTCACCCTTTGGGTCAGTAACGTGCCACCAGCACTGACCATCCCTGTTAAAAAATGAAGATGCTGCCTTCCCGCTGCCGAGCCCGCCTGACTGAAGGGTATACATGTCCAGGGGTGCAGAGGACACCTACGTGCTGCCGTAACAGAGGGAGTAAGGCTTTGGGTCCCTTTTCTCAGCCGGAATCCACATTGTGCACCTCCCAGAGGAGAGCTGCAGATCCCTGGGTACAAGTTACACCGGAGGCAGGATCCTTCTCCTGCTCTCCCCTGCTTCCACCAAGAAGAAAAAAAATTCAAGATGCATGGGGCCAGAAGGGGGAGCAAAAAATGTGCGTGCGTGCATGTATGTCATGTATTTATATACATATATATACACCTGTATATACAAATATGCACATATATACAGACACACACATACATATATATATACACACACAAAAAAATGACTCCAATGCTCAGAGGTTGGGACCACGCTTGGGAGAAGGAGACCTATCCCCTGATCCCCTATTTCGTGGTTCATTACAGAAGGTTTGTTGGTGGGTTTTGTTTCACTAAACAGATAACTGGGGGAAAAGAAAATCTGCGAACAGTTCAGGCTTTTGGAGACCTTGGCTGGTTAAAACTCGAGCAGCTAAAGGGTTAGGGATTTTGCGACTGCACTTCTGGGCTGGGATGCCTAACTTGTGCGTAAGTCCCTCCTCAGGCTGGAAGCCCGTTTGTGGAGCTGGGGCCCTCGGTGCGCTCCAGAGCCAGTGAAGTCATTCTGTTGACTCCAGTGAGCTTTGGATCAAATCCGTAAGCATGCTGGAGATGTATTGTCCTGCGGGTGTGTTGTGTAAAGAGAAACATAAATAATGAATAAAAGCGAGAAGGTGAAAAGACAGGTGTTACCAAGCGTGATTGGCCAGATGAGGCGAGTGCTGGAGCTGTTTCTCGATGATTAGAAATACAAGACACTCAGACTATAAACACTGACTGCCTTTGAAAGGAAAAGATGCTTCTCATCGTTAGCCGTTTAGTTGTTCATTGAGCTTTCCTATAAACAAAAGCTCCGGAGTTTGGATCCATGTGATGCCATTTACTGCCGCGTGTTATTTGTAATGTACACATGAAAGAAGATGTGCAAAATATTTCTCCAGGGTGGCTTTTGACTGTCTGCCTGGTAAGTGGCTGGTACCTTTGAGCCACAGGATTATTACACACAGGCAAAATCTTCTAACTGGTTACAAAGAGCAAAAGCCTAAAGTGAAGTTGCAAACATAGCTTTTAAGATCCTGTTTTCAGACAGGAGAAATCAAGGATGGGATGGGGCAGTAGATTTTTCTTCTTTTTTTCTCTTTTTTTCTTTTATAGCTTTCAGGATCTGTCAGTGGAAAAGCATACATTAATACATGCACTCAGCCTTCAACTTGGCACTTGCACCATACCCCATGTATGAGCCTTATTAAAGCAGCATAAATGGCTCTTCCAAAGTAGCTGATTGCTTGTAGGTGGTGAGGCTTTGCAGGACCTCAGCACAGCTGTGTGGAAGATCTCCCTGTGACACAGGTTCCTGTAACGAGCAGGACCCCCAGCTGTTGTAGCTTTCTCCTCCACGTGTAGTGTTCCTCCCTGGTGTGGAGTGGAGCGGTGAGTTTATTAGGAGCTAGGTAGTATCAGAAAAGAGAGCATCGGAGTTATTCACAATCACGTGTTACACAGTGAGTAAGTTGGACAGTGCATGCTTTGAGTCTACTGTATGGGCTGCTGTCTTACGCTCAGGTCTGAATTTTGGTTGAAATGTCTTTCTTATTTATCTGTTTACTTTTATTCGAATACATGTTGACAATGTATTTTCAGGTCATGAATTCTTTATATTGCAAGGAAAACAAAGAAGGAAAGAAGTAGATGCCCCATCCCTGGAGGTGTTCAAGGCCAGGCTGGATGGGGCTATGAGCAACCTGGTCTGGTGGGAGGTGTCCCTGCCCATGGAAGGGGGGTTGGAGCTAGATAATCTCTAAGGTCCCTTCTAACCTAAACCATTCCGTGATTCTGTATCGAAGGGCAGGCTGGAAGGGAATATAGCTGGTGGAGCATAAATTTTAGGCACTAGACATTGCTGTTAATGGTGTCTGGAGATTGTTAATGCCCTTAGAAAACACAGCATCATGGGTTTGTTGGAAACTTAGAAAACACAACAGATGGGGACTGCCTGTACGGAGGCTGTATTATTAGCATGTGGTTCTGGTGGCAAATAAATGCAGCTTTCAAAGGTTTTCACGTAGGCCAGGATACCACAATATTGTACTTTGTCCTGATAACATCTTAATTGTGTTAGAAAAGAAATAAGAGGAGAACCAGCTCATCTCTGCAGTTTTGTGGTGCTTGGTATAATGTATGCTTTCTGATTGACAGCTTGAAGGCTTCATTTTGTCTTTTATAGCCTAATGTTTGAGATGCAGAAGGCCTGGCTTGGCAGTGGGCTTTGCACTTGGCAACTTTTGATGTTGACGTAGGTAACATTGAAGTGATGTAGCCGGTGTGGGGGAAATAACTGTGTTTGTCTTGCAGTGATGGGTTCCCTCTTTGGGCACACAACCTGATATATGTGGGAGCCCTGCTCAGCTCTGGGTGCTTCTAGTCCAACATACAGCTTCCTTCCCAAGCTGCTCAAGAAAAATCAAGGGCATGAGAATGATAGAAGGGAGGCACAGGTGCCATTGGAGATGTATAGACAAGTATATGTTTGATTTAAAGAATGTAACGAAGACCAGGTGAGAGAAGCAGCATCATGTTGAAAATTCAGCCAAGAAAGCATTATTTTATATGACAATATTTACATTTGAACCGGGAATGTGATGGTTGTGTGTTTGTACCCGTTTCTGTTCCTTTATTGCGGTTCTTTATTCTGTTTGAGAGTGAAGGCCAGGTATGGGGAAGGATTTAGATGTCTGAAGTGGGCCATGGGTGGAATGTAAGCGCTTGCATCCCCTGAGTGCCTGCTTGGCCATAACAGTGGCAGAAGTCTCTGGCTTCTTGCTGTCCTCACTCAAGCTAGCCAGGAACTGCTCCTGCCTTGAGAGAGGGGAGCTGCTCAGCACACTGTGGGGGACACCGTTCCCAAGAACCTCCATGTCCCAAAACTGGCGGTCTGCTGTCACTCATGTGCCATCCTCACGTGCAAACACAGCTGGGGAGAAGCCCCCACTTTCTTGGTGGCTCCTTGATTAATGCCTCTCCTGAGGTAACGGGAGGTTTACCTACAACACCTTCTCCAGCCTGGTAGTGGGGTATACACCCGCATTTCCGACATCTCAGGAGGCTTCGCCTGCCAGATGACTGCTGGTTTTGCCAAGGTGTCCTCCCCTTTGGGAGCAGGGCTCCTCCTGCTTTTGCAGGGGTGAGATTTCATTTGATGGAGGAGGAAGAACTGGGGTGTCTAATTTGCGCTGCCTCATGTGTTTTCTCAGGTGTCTGTCTACAGCCAAATTCATAAGTGCTTCTTGGGCCAATAACTAGACCCCAGGTTTCCCTTCTCCTGGGTTGACTGCCCTAATCACTGAGCTTCCTTTTTTTTTTTTCTTTTTGCATAGTAAATAATTAATTTTCTTAGCTTGGTGGCACACCTTGGAAAGCAAGTGTGGAGACCCCACGGCACTCCATAGCCCCCCTCACAAAGGCGAGGGATGGCAGGTGCATCTCCCTGCAGGACACTGCTATGGGTCACGGATATTGCTGTGATG